TCTGAACCTTCAGTAAAGCAACCACACATCTGGACATCATTCCTGTGTGTGGTTGACATACCGACCAATATATACTGTGAATAATGTATGATGATGATGATGATGATGATGATGATGATTATTATTATTATTATGGGACAAGGAACTCTTGCATTATATATAGATTATAGTAAAGCATTTCATATGGTTGACCATAAAACATTAATAAAAAGACTGAAAGAAATAGGACTCGAAGATCGTTTTCTAAAGCTTTTTGAGAGTTACTTATCAAATAGAAAATTCATTGATAAACTTGCAAATACAGAAAGTTCCTTAAAATATTTTATATATGGTGTACCACAGGGAAGTCAATTGGGGCCAGTTTTATTTATTATCTATATGAATAGCCTGTTCACAAAAATTAAGAAATGCAAAATAAATATGTATGCCGATGATGCAATACTGTTATATTCTCACGGAAACCTGAAGCTGTGCCAAGAAATCATAGAAAATTATTTCAACTCCCTGTTAAAATGGTCATACAATAATCATCTTTTTGTTAATCCAAGTAAAACTAAATTAATGTGCTTCAAAACACCACATAAGCCAAATCCAAAAATTGTAGGGACTATATTTCATGTGCATAAATGCCTCATTAATGACCAAACATTACCCTGTAATTGTGGAAGACTAATCTTTACCACAGAATATAATTATCTAGGTGTAACGTTCGACCCAGATATGAAATTTGAAAAGCATACTAATATATTATTTGACAAAATTAAAAGAATATCTTGTTGTCTCTATGCTGCAAAATATTATTTAAACAAAAGAATTATGCTTCTTCTGTACAAAACAGTAGAGTCAATACTAAGATATGGTGTTAATATATGGGGGAGGGGGAGGGAGGGAGAGAGAGGAGAACCAGCCATAATCATCTGCCTAGCATAATTAATATGCAATCAAAAATTGTGAAAATGATCATGAATAACAACACAATGGATATCAAACAACTTCGAAAAAAAGCTGACACTTTGACCCCTTATGGTTTCTACAAATTTTATCATATAATGAGTCACAATAATAATAACCATTTTAAAACAATAGAGTTACATAACTATGTGTTCAGAAGAAAAAAAATATATGATCCCACTCACTTACAATAGGTACGGAGAAAGATCTTTAAATTATGTAATACCAAAATCATACAAATAACTTCCACTAGATCTAGAACTGTGTCTAAACTTTAATAAATTCAAAAAGCTCGAACTGAAAATGTGGTTACAAAACCATTAAACAGGCCAATAAATTCTTTGATGAGATAACATAAGGACTGCAGAAATCCAATATTTATGTGTAAACACTGTATTTAGGATTGTTACATAATTATTTTGTGTTATTTTTGCTATACGTACTGGTATGTGTTATACCTATGTGACTATATTAGAAATAAGAACAAATAACTAACTTGTATATATTAATTAAAAATATAGTGTTATATAAGCTGAAAGTATATGGTCTTAAAGCAAAATTTAAAACAATTTATAAAAAAGGTAAAATTATAATGTATTTTTTCTCAATTTTGTTACTTTGTAAATATTCATAAAAATCTTTGTAATGTTAACCAGTGTTTTAATCGTGTTATAGATTATATCACTGTAAAACCGAATATTGCAATTGTTATAAATAGGACTTTTAGGTTTTTAACTTTACATTCAATTATTTATGGTAAAATTATAGTATGACCACTTTGTGCATTTAAAGAATAAAATACAGTAAAATTCTGTAATAATGGGCACCTGATGTTAAGTCAGTTTGACTTATCAGGACCCACAACAAATTTGATGGAAAATAAACTATATTATTATTATTATTACTATTACTATTATTATTATTATTATTATTATTATTATTATTATTATTATTATTATTATTAATTTTAAAAAATTAAAAATTCTGCCAATTATTTAAATTCCCAACAATGCTATAACAATGGTCTATTTTGGATTGTTATTGAGTAATAAAATTTTTCATTAATAATATAACATTTATTACTTCAAATTACTTCAAATTTGGCGCCTTGTTTTTTAATAGGGCACTTCTGATTGAAGGATCATACATTTCGAACTTGGCGCTCCGGTGATAATTTTTACTTAAAAAAGCCGCGCGAATTTCTTCCCTGTTGACCAAATAGTCACTTCTTTCGTACTAAGTTCCTTGACGTAATTGTCAAGGAATCTCCTGCTTCTTGTTAGTTCGGAGCGTCACCCGAAGATCACATCAGCTCCTGGGCAGCCCCGCGTAAAATTACCATTGTCAAAATACTGGGAACTCACCGATTTCTACCTCAAACGCCAACTCGCATTGTCATCAGATGCGAAGTGCAGAAAGCTTAGTAAAAACGTGTTGGACACTTTCAAGGTTCGATTCAGGGTATGCCAGGCACTTGGATGCAGTCGTAAAATGAAGTAAAAAAGACGAAATTTGTAAAGAAACGTTTGATTTCGTCTGAACAGAGGTAATTGTGACAATTTCTTCAATACTCGTTAATTCTTTCTCCAAATAACAATCCTTGTCAATTATGTGTCGTCTCTTTTCCAGAACACTCTTGTCTGATAAAAACTACTGATGGAAGAGGATGTTTCGTTGCCGTTTCTACTAATTGCTCTCACAACTATTTCTACGAGTATTTCGCAGCCTCAACAAACGATAACTTCAATGTGTGAATAACAGAAATATCTGAATGCTTTGTGGAAAGGTCTCATTGCGAGGGGGGTCAAGCCAGAATGGTAAGTCCTGCTCGAAAAGGTAACGAAACAAAAACAGTACTGGCCTTAACTCCAGACATATTCTTCAAACACATACCTTTAAACACATATTTGCATCTGGCTTCTCTTGCTCAACCACTGGAGGCTGAGGTGGTTCTGGAGGCGGAAGGAGCAGTGTTTCCCCAGAACCACTAACGCGCCTTCGTTTATTACCACCAGATGTCGACGAGGCTGATGTTGAACTTCTTAGTGTCCGAGTTGATCGCTTCCTCCCTCGTAGAGGTCGAACTTCTGGGGCAGGTTGTGCGGGCTCAGGATCATCTTCTGATTCCGCTGCTCATAAGAAGAAAGGTGTTTTAAATTTTATTTCTAATACCTAACATATACATATTGAAAACAAAATCAATCCACGCAAATCTTCATTATCATTAGACTTCAGATTTTTAACCAAATGCTAATTTTACAGGTTGTGATGTAGATATTCAAAATTAATTGCACAGACATTTCGGACGTTACAAGGAATCCTGTTAAGTGTAATTAAAACCAATGGGAATAAACTTGAAAGCGATCTACACACGCGCATGTACATCGCTCAGTGATAAATACATCTCTACAAATTATAGGTACATTACTACCAATACATATGCAACTTCAATGCCGAGCCAAAAAAGTAGAGGCCCCAGGCGATTGTAATAATCATAATCATAATAATAATAATAATAATAATAAAATAATAGCAACAACAATAACACCACTGAGCTTCTGGTGCTACTTAACATGAAATGTGAGACAACAAATGTGGAGAGACAAACCAATCCATGGACAATGTTTAAAAACGCAATATCTCGCTGAGCCGTAGGTGTAAGACAATGAGATCTGGTGACACCCTGTGCTGAACGATTCTGCATTCGGTGGCGAGGTTCCCGCAAGATAAACCGGAGGGTGATAGGTCGTGTATCTAGTCTTTTCGACCGCGCGCGACGCGTGGGATTGCCAGACCCCACGCAGTTCGCAGAATTTCTCGGCGCTGTGGTGTTTTGTTTCTCTCGCGCACGTTTCTTGTGTTCCTGTCTATTAGAGTAACGTAATATTGTGCACTAAACAGTTTTCAAAATGAGTGAATAAAGAACGTAAAAAACTTGGTAACTCGAAGTTTGATACTCCAAGAATTGTACAGAGCGTTCAGTCATGTGACCGGTTTTTTTGACAGCCACTGATGCCATACCACATGGATCAGAGCAGGAAGGAATAAATTGGAAATTTGGGATTTTGGGAAATATATTTTTTTTTTAAATAACATTTTTTCCCAAATTTAACACTCATCAAAACATTAAAAAACTTCCAAGTAAATAGAAAAAATTAAGTTTTTTTTTTTTTTAATAAAAAAAAAATAAAGAAATGCGATTTCCAGTGAAAAAGAAAAAGTTTTTATCTTTTGATGCAGTATGTTTTAGATTCTTGTAAAATTGTAGCAATCTTAATGCAAATTACAATTTATTAATTTATCAAAGTTCCGGCTGTTAGGGAACTTGCTTTGATAAACAAATAAAAGTGGTTTGTCATATAAGAAGGATACAATTACGTACGTTTTGTTCAATTGTTTTTACTCCTCTGTAAAAAAATTCCAAAATGTAATAACTTTTATTTCAAAAATTTTTAGTCTACCCCTGGCAAATTGGGGTAGGCCTGAAGGCTTGGAGATGTTAATAGTAGGTGTGAAATATTTTCTAAAAGGACTTAGGAAACTCATTTTGATTTGTATTGTTGGACTTTTTAAATAATTAAGTGGATAAAATTTTATTGACTTCAACTGGGATTTCGGTGGAAATGTTGTATCCCCCCTTCAATAAATAATCATGTCAAATAAAGGGAATTATTTTTTCACATTACATGTTTTGTTTTTTTTGGTTACCTTTCATCTAATTTCTAATTATTTTTATATTATGTAATAAAGTTATTGAAAGGTTATGAAAAATTTCAATTTTCATTTCTAAGGCTAAACTTTGCACAGTGATCATGAAAACCATTTATCTTTCATTAATTTGAATGTACTTATTTACTATATTTGAATGACAGATGAGTCAATATTTATAGCATTTTAACGCATTGTTTTATCTTTTAAGAACTGGACTGATTGCCTATTTTAAGAATTTACCTGAAGTTACTGATCTTAATTAACTGAGAAACTGCAAACAGTCACTCCAGAATATTACTACTTGTACCCTTTCCCCAAAGAAATCTTGGAAAGTAGTGGTGAAAATTTTCCAAGATTGTACAATCAGGGAAGCCAAAATTTGAAAAGAAAATAGCAAATTCATGGTAGTTTATGTTATTATACATGTACTTAAGGAGCCTTGGTTTCATTAGTCAATAACTGAACAAATTTTTTATTTAAGGTATTATTACACACGAATTCCACAATTAACTACCATATCTGCAAGTCACTGATCGATAATTGATACACTGGCTGTCAGTATAAGAATGAGCAACGTGAAATGAAATCGTAATTATATAACACCGAGAATATCATAACTGCAAAACATTATAACAAGCACATAAGCATTAATTAGAATCTTATGATCACGCAAGACCGAAAAGTACAGGCAGAAATTCCGGTAGTTTTTTACAAGGCTAGTGGGAGCTATGCGTATATTTCCATTTCATTCTTGTTATCTATTGACTTAATCAATCAATCACTACATGTTTTCCAGAGTATTTCGAAAATGTTTTGAATCACTTAGTATAATTTTTCATCATTAATATACGGAATTAAAATGAATCTCTCGCTGAAAACTGTTTCTAACATCCAGCGATCAAAATTACATGGGAACAACAACATTCAGCTCCAACCGCGACAAGCTGTGAATGCAACTCCTCAGGCTGA